AGAGTTGGCTACACCCAGGCAGTGCCAGACAGTTTAATTCCCAATAAATCCTTTTTAACTTTTGGAAGTTTGGCTCGAGACTCATGATTTAACTGCTGGACAATCCCCTTTTGCAAACTTTTGAAAAGCGAAGTCAATGGGGAAGCCATATTCAATTAACAACCACGTTAGTAACTTAACAACTGCATGATTCACGTAACAACTGTGGCAGGAAAGGTAAAATGGGGGCAAAACTCACTAACTCTCTCCCTTAGCAACAGAAATTTTGGGACTCAGTTGTAGGTGTAAATAGAGAACTACCTATATGCATTCACACCCAATATACAGAGGTGATTATGGATCCTAGATATTGAGAATCTGGTAGAATACAGCCATGCAGAAGTCACCACTTCCAAAGCTAACATCAATATAGTTCCTTGTAAATAAGTTAATCTCATATTATAGAGTAGATTAAGGATCAACACAATAAAAATGGAAAATTCCAGCAGTTATTGCTGCTTATATATCACACTTCCAAGACCTCTGAAGCTGATATGATAAAAATAATTATCTAATGCGAAAGGTGAAAGTCTAGTGGATGGGTAAACATCCAGGTTTCCAACAAGCTAATATCATTAATAATCACTGATACAAACACTCACACATGAACAAAACTGGGAGAACAGAATCGAGAATGGCACCCATCTCTTTCTCTTTCTCTCTCATTCACACATACAAAGACATAGAGTAATCTTCCCCAGAGTGCGGCCTACACAGCAGAGGATATTCAGCAGGTTCTGACCAGTTCTGGAGAACCGGTAGCGGAAATTTTGAGTAGTTCGAAGAACCGGCAAATACCACCTCTGACTGGAGATTTTACCACGCCCACCAAGCCACGCCCACAGAACTGATAGTTAAAAAATTTGAATCCCAGCACTGCTACACAGCCTGTAACAGGAATATCAAATTCGATCCCACTTGTGACTGTACGACTGTAACTTTGTCGCTTGTATCCTTACGATTTATATTGACTGTTTCCTAATATGATTTGATTGTTTATTAAGACCCTGTGACTATTATTAAGTGTTGTACCTGATGATTCTTGACTCTTGATGAATGTATCTTCTCTTTTATGTACACTGAGAGCATTTGCACCAAGACAAATTCTTTGTGTGTCCAATCACACTTGGCCAATAAAAGAATTCTATTCTATTCTATTCTATTCTATTCTATTCTATTCTATTCTATTCTATTCTATCCTGTTGGAGGCCACGTCGGGATTTTGTTTGCCCTTGGGGGGTGTGGGGGGCGTGGCCTGGTCATCGTAGCTAACTGGGTGGGCATGGCCAGGGCAGCAGGGGCTGGTCCCTCATGGTCTCCAGGGTGTCCCTGTGGGCCAACTCCGCAGCCTATCGCAGGCTGGATGAGGCCCATGGGCCGTAATTTTGGCACGTCTGGTCTATAAAACGTGTATGTAAACATGTAAATGAGTATCTGTTACAGGTGTGCTCAGTCCCACTTTTTCCCTCTAGCCCTGTTATCAAAAATCCCAAATCCACTTCTCATAATATTCCTTTGCTCATATAGTCACCAAGCCAAACTTTACCGCAATGTATAATTTACAGGTAATCCTTGACTTACGACCACAATCGAGCTTCAAATTTCTGTTGCTAAGGGAAACGTTTGTTAAGTGAATTATGCCCCGTTTTATGAACTTTCTTGTCATAATTCTTAAGTGAATCCCTGTAGTTGTTAAGTTAGTAACCCAATTGTTAAGTGAATATGTCGACATTGCTTGTCAGAATTTCACAAAAGGTGAACACACTCGGTCAATGCAACCGTCGTATCTATGTACCAGTTGCCAAGCATCCAAATTTTGATTACATGGCCATAGGGATGTTGCAATGGTCATTAAGTGTGAAAAATGGTCATAAGTCACTATTTTCAGTGTCGCTGTATCTTTGAACGAACTGTTGTAATACTACCTGTATTCCCCACCCTGCAAGTCTTCAAGAGTCATGTTTCGCATAACTTCAATTTCAGGTAGTGACAAATGAACTGACAAATGAATTGACAGATGAAAAGACCACATCTGATTAGAGAGCAAGAAGAAAAAGAATATTTTAAGAAATGGGATTTATGGTTACCAATGGTTAGATAGAAAAGTAGGAAACTGAAGTATAATTCGATAGCAATGATACGTTATAATTGATTATTATAGAATGAATTATAATATGCATTAAAATAAGTAAGAATTGAGATTTGCTCTAAAGGATAATGTGGATTTGAAATTAGAGTCTAATGATGATGTAATAACATGACATGGAAAGCTGACTAACGTAATGTGAATGTAAATTTAAATCTAAGAGGAAAAGATTACAGATTTTCTGCACAAGAAATATTTACCTACCAACACACTGTATAATTGAAAGAAGGTTTCATTTGTTGTTTTATGTTTATGTTTGTCTTTGTTTATTGTTAAAAATAAATATATATATATATATAAAAAAAGACCACACCTGGAATACTGCATTCAGTTTTGGTCACCACACTATAAAAAAAGATGTTGAGACTCTAGAAAAAGTGCAGAGAAGAGCAACTAGGATGATTAGGGGACTGGAGATTAAAACATATGAGGAACCTGGCATGGCTAGTCTAGTGAAGAAAAGGACCAGGCGAGACATGATAGCAGTCTTCCAATATTTCAAGGGCTAACACAGAGAGGAAGGAGGTCAAGCTATTTTCCATGGCACCCAAAGGGCCAGACAAGGACCAATGGATTGAAACTGATCAAGGAGAGATTCAACCTGGAAATAAGGAGACATTTTCTGACAGGAAGAACAATCAACCAATGGAACAGCTTGTTTTGGGTGCTTCATCACTGGAGGCTTTCAAGAAGAAACTGAACTGCCATTTGTCAGAAATGGTGTAGGGTCTCTGGCTTGAGCAAGGGGGTTGGACTAGATGACCTACAAGGTCCCTTCCAACTCTGTTAATCTGTAATCTGTTTCCTGCTTGAGCAGGAGGTTGGATTAGAAGACTTCCAAACTCCCTTCCTACTCTCTTATCCTGGAAGAACTGTACAAGTATTTGTAAGGAAAAGCCTGGCAAAACCATTTGTTCCTTTTTAAAATGCTGCATTCACTTGATTGATTTACATAAAATTGCTTTTCAGTTTGGTAGCCACCCTGAGTAGAAGAGACATAAATTAGCAAAACACACCCATCCCAGGTGGCCCACAACATCTGGTAGATAAAACTAGCCCAAGTTTTAGTTCTGTATTGCATGCTTCCTGCATTAAAAAAAAAAAGTTATTCAAAAGAGCTGACAAGTCCGAAGTGTCTTTCCCCCTTCTTGAAAAAAAAATAAAATAAAAGTGATGACTGATGAATTATCAACTTGCCTTGCTTGCAAAGGCACTTTTCCAAAAGATAGGGGAAGTTTCACTCCAAAGTACATATAGTATTTACACACACTATTCTTCCTTATGTAACCAACGACAGAGCTAAATAATCACCAGAAGCGTGCAAAAAATAAATAAAATGCAGGCAATCCTCGACTAATGACTGTAATTGAGCCTGTGATTTCGGTTCTAGGTTGTGATGGCTATAAAACAGGTCACCATGCACAAAAGATTGTACAGCCTTTTTCACAGTGGTTATAAAATTAATACAGTGTTTGTAAAACAAATACAATGGTCGTTAAGTGAACCCAATGATCACTATGGGACAGTTTTCGCTGGGAAAAAAGCTCCATAAATTGAGATCATATGACTGGAGGGCACTGCACATGGCCATAAATGCAGGTCAGTTGATGGGTGCCCCAAATGCGGTCACATAACCACAGTAGTGTATAGTAGTGTTGTGTAGTGTATATACACAGTAGTGTATATTAGAACTTCACATTTTTGACCCCCCCTCTTTTGTGGGTCCGTCATAACTTTGAACAATCTGGAATTAAACACACTCAAAACCATAGAAATGGTGGTAGAGTTTAGGAGAAACCCTCCCATACTACCACCTCTTACAATACTTGACAATACAGTATCAACAGTAGAGACCTTCACATTTCTAGGTTCTATTTTATCACAAGACCTAAAATGGACACCTAACATCAAAAATGTTATCAAAAAAGCACAACAAAGAATGTTCTTTCTGTGCCAACTCAGAAAGCTCAAACTGCCCAAGGAGCTGCTGATCCAGTTCTACAGAGGAATTACGGAGTCCGTCATCTGCATCTCTATAACTGTCTGGTTTGGTTCTGCAACCCAACAGGACAAACACAGACCTCAGAGGAAAATTAGGACTGCAGAAAAAACAATTACTACCAACCTGCCTTCCATTGAGGACCTGTATAGTGCACGAGTCAAAAAGAGGCGTGTGAAAATATTTACAGACCCCTCACATCCTGGATATAAACTGTTTCAACTCCTTCCCTCAAAACGACCCCATAGAGCACTGCCCACCAGAACAACTAGACACAAGGACAGTTTTTTCCTGAACGCCATCACTCTGCTAAACAAATAATTCCCTCCAGACTGTCCAACTATTTACAAAGTCTGCTTTAATCTTGTCATCACTCCTTATCACTCATCCCCTCCCACTTGTGACTGTATGGCTCTAACTTTGTTGCTTGTATCCTAACGATTTATATGGACTGTTTCCCAGTATGATTTGATTGCTTATTGTACCCTATGACTATCATTAAGTGTTGTACCTGATGATTCTTGACTCTTTGACGAATGTATCTTTTCTTTTATGTACACTGAGAGCATTCGCACCAAGACAAATTCCTTGTGTGTCCAATCACACTTGGCCAGGAAAGAATTCTATTCTATTCTATTCTATTCTATTCTATTCTATTCTATTCTATTCTATTCTATTCTATTCTA